AAGAAAGCATTTATGGTAAAGAATGAATATAAATTGAAAAGTGGTGATGATACATTGCGAGCTGAAATGATTGTGCTTAGAGATACATTGTCTATAAATACTGAGAATTCTTGCGAGCCACAGGCAGATAAATTTAATGTTTGTAGTTTATTGCATTTTAAAATTTTTTTAAGCTGGATCTTTATAACATACACATATGTATTTTTTTTTTCTTTACAGGAATTAGAGAATAGAATTGATAATGAGTCTAATGAACTTATTGCAAGCTTTAAACAATTGCAATTAGATGCCAAAGATTACTTGAGGTCACTTGAAGAGAAGGTAAGAGTAAGATAGCCCTTTTTTTTTTTTTTTTTTAATAGGAATATCTTTAACTAATTGCAGCTAATTTTGCGATTTAGTCGGAATCATCTTATGATCTAGGCTTAAAGGTCAAAAATGCTAGTAAAGTATGGCAACAAAATCTACAAACATTGGCAGTGAAATTGGCATCCTCTCAAAGTACACAATATTTTTGATTATTTTTTTCCTGTAGGTTATCAAAACTTTTCATTAACTGTTTTTTTATAAAGGTCGAATATTAGAATTGACAGCAGAAAAAGAGAAACTTGTTAAAGTGAATGAACAGGATTCAAATAGGGTTGCGACTCTGGAAACTGAAATCATTCAGTTAAAAGAGGAATTGAATAGACATAAGGTGAATTATATTTGATAGCTATGTATGATTTGTTATATACATTCTAATATTTTTACATTTTCTAGGAACATATTCAGAACCAAAATGGAGGAGACGATGTTGAAAATTGTGCTGGTAACAATAAGACCTTATTAAATTGAAAAATAATTGTGAAATTTCTTACAAAACCAATAATTCTTTATTAATATCTAAACTAGCATCTCAGGATGATGAGGAGGAGGAGGTCTGTCTTTTTAAAAGTAAACAAGTGACGCTTTTGACAAAATATAATTGCTCTTAATGAATATCTTTTCAATTTTAGCAGTTTGTTTATCCAGTTAATCCTGAAAAGCAAGAAATCCCTGAATCTTCAAGTCAATCAACTGAGAATACATCACAACCTTCACCCATTATGGCCACACAAACAATATTTGCAAGTGATACTGACTCTAACACAAGCAGTAATAGTAGTGTAGGTATTCATGCGTTAGGAAGTGATATAGGAATGAGTAATTAGTACACTCTACTCCAAATTCTAGACATTGTTTTTTTTTAACAAGTGATTTTTATGATTAGCGATCTTCTAAAAATGAGGAGGATGCCATAAGAGAAACACTTATCAAGAAACATTATGAATCTAAAATAAGCCAATTAACAAACCAGGTCAATAACTTATTTTTATATTCTCTTAAACATACAAAGTATATTTATTTGGAATTTAATTATTTATGATAATAGTTAAATTCAGCGGATCAAAAGACGGTACAATTACATAAATCTCTAAAAGTCATTCAAGAAAAATTGGTTGAATCGGAAAATCTAAAATTACGGTCAGAACAAGAAAATGTGAAATTACAAAATGAATTGTCTCGATTGAAGGTAATTTATTGAAAAGATTTTGAACTTTTTTCAATACATTTTTTTTACAACTTCATTTTAAAATTTTTAGGAAAAATTGAATGAAGATCGTGCAAATTATGATAAACAGCTTAAAGAAATGACGGGGTGGACTGAACAACGGCAAAATAAGATTAAGGAATTAGGTGACGAATTATCGGGATATGAAGCTGGAACTTCGCGAAATGAATAGATGTATTTTAAAGTTTCTATTTGTATATTATTTACATTGTATCTACATATCGTGTAACAACAGTATATAAAAAATATTGGTCTATAGAGAGAGAACCGATTTTATTACATGAAATGGTAATTGTTATGCTTTTACGTAAAAAAATTTTTTTGATTTACATAATTAGTTTTTTATGATCGAGATTTGGGATTGTTGAGTCTTGTAAGTTATAAATTTGAAAGCCCAGCACGCATTCAGATACATTTAGATAATGGTAAGAATTAATAATTTATAACATTGTTTTTCTAGCCTCTTTGGAGCTAGAATCTTTTTTATTCAAATTTTTGGGGCGCGAGTGCTTTCGGAGGCTTTCTTACATTAGAATATATTTAGCCACACGTACAACTTTAGTTGTTGTCTATTTAAAGATTTCACTATATATTGCATGTTTGTTTACTAAACTCTACCTG